GGCGGCGGTGTGATGAAGGCCGCGTAATTTGGCAGCGGTGGCACCAACCACGTGATGTTGCAAGGATGCTATCACAGCCCGGCAACGTAAGCCGAATCCACTTCTCGTTTGGGCAGGAGTTGAGCCACAAAGCTACATCATCATCGCACCTGTCTGACCCACGTGCTAGCTCAGCAGCTGAGGAGCTGGCGATGGCGGCTCTGGTTGAGAGGCTGTTGGCGGCTGCTCTGATCTAGCTGCTGACGGTGGCGGCTCTGTTTGTGGAGCTGAAAGTGGTGGTGGCTTTGGCTGAGGTGCTGACGACGGCGGCTTCGGCGGCCCAGCTTCAGGAGCTGGTGTCGGCGAAGACTGTTTGGGGAGCTGGCGGTGACGGCTCTGATCGAGCGGCTGGTGGGGGTGGTGCTGGTTGAGGAGCTAGTGGCGGCGATTCCAGCCCAACAGCTGGCGGCGGCGACGGCTCTAGATGAACAGTTGCCGACGGCGGTGCTGGCTGGGCAGTTGGTGGCAGTTTTCAAGTCATCTATGTAAATGGTACGTAGGTGATAACTTGATAATTGCCAATCAAACTGCTGTCATCATAAACTAGTTGCCCCCTTTTACTGGACACTCCACTGATTGACATTTTCATCAATAATCTAAAATAAATTAACCCATTATTGAAACAAAAGCATTGTTAGGATTCAGAATCCTACCAGAGGGTTCGTGGTAGTTACATCAGTGGGAGTAGAAAATCCAGTCAGCATTTTTTGGGGGTTTAATGGCTTTTCAATCCGCTTAATCCATGTGGCCTGACAAAGTCTGAAATCCCGTCCGGTCCTAATCCGTGTGTTACCCACATTTTGTTGGTCGGGGCCAGCCCGCTAATCCGATCCGTCCACCCCCGATAATCGATCCAACCGGATCCGCTCAGCACCCTTGGATCGGTCTAATCGAATCCATTCACCATCCGCGGATCGGTTCAATCGGATCCATCCACCACCCGTAGGTCGGTCCAACCGGATCAATCCACTACCCGCGGATTGGTATAATCGGATTCATCCACCACCCGCGGGTCAGTCCAATCGGATCCATCCACCACCCGTGGATCAGTCCAATCGGATCCATCCACCAGCCATGGATCAGTCCAACCGGATCCATCCACAATCCGTGGACCGGTCCAATCGGATCCCCCCCACCACCCGTGGATCAGTCCAATCGGGTCCATCCACCCCCGCGGATCGCGCCATCCGTGAAGCGCTCCACAGCCTGGCTCTCCCTGTGGCGCACCGCTGAGGTAATGATCTCCTCCACCAATCGTCGGCCCGCAACGCTGCGATAGTTACTTATGCAAAGTTCTTTGATCTCCATGGTTCGCAAGGAACGTGAGTCTCATGTGTTGGTACTGACAGTTATGGGATGCGTAGGCGATGAAGCTGAGGAAAAGTTGTCAAGTGACAGTATTGCAATTGTTCGGCATTTCCGGGTGTTAAAAAGCTGCTTTTATCACTAGTTCGTATTCGTTACAGGAAATATGTTTTAACACACTTTTTAACAAACCTATTCATCTGACTGAGCGTTGTTACGTCTTGACAATAGGGATCTTATCGCTTTTGACATCACACTAAATGATAATGGGTTACGTCTTCCGTCTTAAACGTACATAAATTTGAAATGTTTCAACGCAGTTACCCACCACAACAGTAACATTGTATTACATCAACGCATACCTTTAAGGAAAGAGAGCCCATAACCTTTCAACGAATAAATATTAACGGCATTAACCATAACCAGCACACCAGCGTGAAACGTCTCCAAGAGCTGATCGACGGCCCGAATCGATTGCGGAGAGATATGCACAAAGTTGGAATCAGAAATCTGAAAAAATGCACATTGTTTGTGATCAGCCGCACGGAGGAGAGGCCCCGACTGCTCAGAGCGGAGAGGCCTGGCTGCCAGACCTCACACGCAGGCAAGGGTGTGCCAGCTATCTTGCACAGATCTTCCACATGTCTGTGTCCAAATTTGTTCCCTACACATCAACATCAGATCGTCCTAAACCATCCGTCACAGCGCAGCTCCATATATGCAAATGATCGATTCGATTGAGGCACTGTCATCTATGCTGCTGACTTCAGTACCTCGCAGTCTTTTGATATATGCATCGTTGATAGACAGGCAACATCTGCCGATATCCAGCTATGGACTGCTTATTGGCCTCCAACAGGACGCTTTCACACTCCGCCCTTCAGCCTCCAGTGGAAGCATGTTGAGCCAGTCCGCTGACTCGAACGACATCGCGCTGACCAGACATCGAGACCTGACCACTCACGTTTTGGTTATTTATCTCCAAAACTCAAGCGCTGGCAACCAAGATTCATGGGCTTCCTTATGCGCGAAGACATGACAGCTACCAAGATCTAGCGTCGCGGCGCTTAACGTATGGCCCTGCGGGTACGGACTCGCGGCGAAACTGGATCCAGCGCGGCGGCGGCGGTCCGCCGGGCCGGCCGGCTCCGGTGGCGGCGTGTCGTAACCGCGCCGGCGCCTGACCTGACCTCGAGGGCGGGACGCCTGCCCCGGCAGCGGCAACGACAGCCGGCGCGCCGGCGCCTGACCTGACATCGAGGACACGACGCCTGCCCCGGCAGCGGCACCGGCAGCCGGCGTGCCGGCGCCTGACCTGACCTCGAGGGCGGGACGCCTGCTGGCAGCGGCGCCGACAGCCGGCGCGCCGGCGCCGGACCTGACCTGAGGCGGGACGACTGCCCCGGCAGCGGCGCCGACAGCCGGCACGCCGGCGCCTGACCTGACCTCGAGGGCGGGACTGCCTCCGGCAGCGGCGCCGACAGCCGGCGCGCCGGCGCCCGGGCGGCAGCTGTGCTGGCTGCCGGAGCGGCGGCGTCCGGTACGCTGGTGCGGTGGCAGCTGTGCTGGCTGCTGGAGCGGCGGCGTTCGGTACGCTGGTGCGGTGGCAGCTGTGCCGGCAGCCGGGGCGGCGGCGTCCGGGCGGCAGCCGGGACGGCGGCGTCCGGTACGCTGGTGCGGTAGCAGCTGTGCTGGCAGCCAGAGCGGCGGCGTCTGGTACGCTGATGCGGTGGCAGCTGTGCTGGCAGCCAGAGCGGCGGCGTCTGGTACGCTGGTGCGGTGGCAGCTGTGCTGGCAGCCGGAGCGGCGGCGTCTGGTACGCTGGTGCGGTGGCAGCTGTGCTGGCAGCCAGAGCGGCGGCGTCCGGTACGCTGGTGCGGTGGCAGCTGTGCTGGCAGCCAGAGCGGCGGCGTCCGGTACGCTGGTGCGGTGGCAGCTGTGCTGGCAGCCGGAGCGGCGGTGTCCGGTACGCTGGTGCGGTGGCAGCTGTGCTGGCAGCCGGAGCGGCGGTGTCCGGTACGCTGGTGCGGTGGCAGCTGTGCTGGCAGCCAGAGCGGCGGCGTCCGGTACGCTGGTGCGGTGGCAGCTGTGCTGGCTGCCCTGCGGGCACTTTGCTGTGTTCTCTGAGATAGAAAAACAACTCGCCAGCGGTGATTTACAGAAAGGTTGTTGCCGTAGCTTGAACATAGGCCACCATTGCCATGTATTCATGACGTCATCAAAGCAGATATGTATATTCATGGCACCAGGCTCGATGTTCATTGGCTAAATGCTCTAAGTGCCAAATGCTCTTCATCAAGTACATGATCGTCCCGTGACGTGTTCTCATGAGGCTCAAAGATGCGTGTGGTTGTGGAGTGCCAAGCCCACAGCGTCGGCCACGAACGGGGCCAGAGTCATGCAGTGGGCACGTTTCCATGTAGCCACGAGAATGAAAAGCTATAAGTTAATTTGCCATTCCCGTACAGATCTCCAACAACCCAAGATTCAACAGGGAACCCACTCGGTGCCGGCCTGTCCTGCTTGTGGCTCGAGATGGGTCCATGAGGCCGTTATAAAAAAATGCGGCCTGCCCGCGCTCTGCACCTGACTCCCCGGCGTGGCCCGACTAATAATCTTGATTAGAATAACTCGCGCTTTACGGCCGCTTGATCCCACCGTAACCCAACAGCGGCCGCAGGCAGTGCCTCTGGACACCCTTCACCTCCCGTGCGAGTGGCTGATGGGCCACCACCTGCTCGGACTGGGCCGTGAGGCTCGGCGGCATCCCAGCTCCGGCTGGCGGTCAATGGCCTGCCCGGCGGCCGTTGGTCTGCCCCGGCGGTCACTGGTCTGCCCCGGCGGCCACTGGTCTGCCCCGGCGGCCGTTGGTCTGCCCCGGCGGCCACTGGTCTGCCCTGGCGGTTACTGGTCTGCCCTGGCGGTTACTGGCCTGCCCCGGTGGCAACTGGTCTTCCCCAGCGGTCCTTGATCTGATTCTGCCCCCGGCGGTCGTTGGTCTGCTCCGGCGCCTCACTGGCCTGCTCCAGCGGCCACTGATTAGTCTGCCCCGGCGGCCACTAGTCTGCCCTGGCGGTTACTGGTCTGCCCTGGCGCCACTGGCCTGCCCCGGCGGCCACAAGTCCCAGCCTCGCCGTCTGCGGTTGCCGGTCCCGGAGTCTGCAGTTGCCGGCCCCGGACACTCGGCGAACGTCGGCATCTCTCACACTGGGACGCTGCCGGCCTGCATTCCTCGCCTGCACGGAATGTTCACTGGCGCGGGCCTCGGCGGTCTGCATCCACGTCTGGTGCCGACGGCGGCCTGCGTCCACGTCTGGTGCTGACGGCGGTCTGCATCCACGTCTGGTGCCGACGGCGGTCTGCATTCCTCGTCTCATGGGAACAGCGGTCTGCATTCCTCGTCTCATGGCAACAGCGGTCTGCATTCCTCGTCTGGTGCCGGCTGCATTCCTCGATGACGATGGCGGTCTGTATTTCTTGTCTGGTGCCAACGGAGGTTTGCTTCCCTCGTCTGATTGCGCTGGCAGTCTGCATTTCTCGTCTGATTGCGATGGCTGTCTACATTCCACGTCTGTTTGCGATGTTGTTCTGCTGCAATCCTCGTCTAGTTGCGATGACGGCCCGCATTCGTCCTCTGGTGACGACGGCGGCCTCAGCTCCTCATCTGCTGACGACGGCGCCCTCAGCTCCTCGTCTGCGGACGATGGCGGTCTGCGCTCCCCATCTGCTGACGACGGCGGCCTCAGCTCCTCGTCTGCTGACGACGGCGGCATCAGCTCCTCGTCTGCTGACGACGGCGGCCTCAGCTCCTCGTCTGCTGACGACGGCGGCCTCAGCTCCTCGTCTGCTGACGATGGTGGTCTGCGCTCCCCGTGTGCTGACGACGGCGGCCTCAGCTTCTCATCTGTGGACGATGGCGGTCTGCGCTCCCCGTTTGCTAACGACGGCGGCCTCAGCTCCTCGTCTGCTGACGACGGCGGCCTCAGCTCCTCGTCTGCCGACGACGGCGGCCTCAGCTCCTCGTCTGCCGACGATGGCGGTCTGCGCTCCCGTCTGGCGATGACGCCGGCACATTTATCGTCCGCCAAACCCCTCATTGGTCCGCATGGTTCGTTAATTTTGAGTCGTTGCCAAGGGGCATTCGTTGATGATAACGAATAGCCCTTGTTGGTTGGGCTTGCTTCGCTTTCCCACCGTTCGGAACCGTTATATTTCGTCAATCGGCGTCAGCTATCGGACGGCGAAACCAGTTCACTGAGTAACTTGTTCATTACAACACAGCGAGCCTAATGATCCGGATCAAAGTTGCGGGAAAAACTGAACCCATTGCTCGGGCGGGACGACATGGAAATCAGCTCATGGGAAGGCCCAGTATAGTAAGGCTCAGTACAGTGTCAGGAACTCTTTCGCAGCTTATTTACTTCAAATATGTTTTAGAAAAGACTGACCTGACAGATTTAGAAAAAAGATATAACGCCAGATTATTTTTTTTAATGGATCTACGGATGAAATGAAAGCGGCTGTGATAAGAAACGGTTATTGAATGGGGGGGGGGGGGGAGGGGGGCTAAAGACTGGTATGTCGGTCCAAGCCGGCAGCCTAAAAATTTCATGGCCATGAAAATTTGTGAATCCAGGGACATGCTGGACTTGAATACGTTTTGGGTCAGACGCATTTAATGCCTGGATGGGTGTGTCCCATTAAATCAGCGTAAGCCATCGGAAGCCCACATATCAGCCAAATTAATTTATGATAATGTCGAGATGTACCTGGAAGAGGACTGAATATCAAACGTCCGTTAATTCACCGCTCTGTGGTGCAGCCCATCGATTTTCATAACGTCCACGGCGGAAGCTTCTGGACGCGAACGATCTGCATCTGAAATATGGACAGGGTAATTTTCTATTGGAGTGATCAATATTGCATGCTTTAATGCGTTCTTGGAAGCAAGCCAGCCCCCAGGATAAGCCTATACATGTTAGCCTTCCTGCCGCTTTCGAGCAGCTTAAAAAGCGTATTGAAACGGCAACATTGGGCTATAGCGCATTGTTTCCGCATTTCAGACCCCGTGGAACCCCAGGGAAAACGGGAGCATAAACCGCGGCCGACGAACCAAGACCAGTGGGACGAAACATAGCGATCATTATACCCACAACAGATAACCTCGAATGAAATTTCTTCAGGTCAGAAGGCTGCGCAGAATTTTGCCATCAAAGGCTTGTTCCGCCTCCACGGAATCAAAGAGGCCGATCAGCGCCAGCGTTTCCAGAGTCATTCAGAAAACATTTTTGATTCTTTCTGGTTTTGCTCTCTGTCGATAGAATTGAAATATAGAACAGTATAAGATAGTACAAGACAGAACTTGATAGATAGTAGAATATATAACAGAAAAAGATACAATATACAATAGAATGGCAAGATACAGTATAGAATAGGATGACAGAGTAAGGAACAGAATAGGATAATATAATTTAGAATAGAAGAGGGTAGTAGAATTTGGAATAGAATAATCGATAGAAACGGATATGCTTTCGATAAGCCTCAACCAATATCACGAAATCATTTGACCCTGCAATTGCAAATTGCCATTTCTGCCAATTGCCAAATTCAATTGCTATTGCTATTTGCGCATGGCGCACCTTACTGCAACCATATCAGTTTACAGGGGTATTGTATCATTCATCTGCTCATCCCATAACGTTCCTTACCAGCCCAAAGCCCATTCATTTTACTGCAGCAGTCGTCATTGTGACGTCAAACTTTGTGTGATGTCGCTTACACTGCCATCGTGAGTGGGCCGGGTGAAGGAAAAAGTGCGGACCGGACCACGTCCGCTGTTGTCACCTCAAGGCCCGGGGGCGTGGATAGATGGGATCTCTCCACCGGCACGCAGGCGCAGTCTGCAGATCCCACACTGGCGCCTTCGCTAATTTGTCAAGCACCGTACCGCCTGGGCGACCGACCGTGGCTGAGCCTCGCGCGCGCCTGTACGGCTTCCGTCCGCCCGGCACGGCTCGTCCGGCGCGAGCCGCGGCCTGGTTCCCGGACGGCTGTCCCCCAGCGGCCGGCGTCGCCAACATGGAGCGTCCTGTGGAGTGTAGCGCCTGAGCGGCGTGGCCCCTGCCAAGCCGGCCGTGATCGGGTTGGCCACACAGCGGCGTGCCCCCGGGCACTGCACCTGCGCCACCTGACGCTTCTGACGTCACGACACTGCGGTCGCGTCGCTGGTGCTCGCGGTCAAGATAAGCCAGCGCGGTGTCGGTGTCGGAGAGGCAGCAGCAGATTTTGAAAGCCGATCAACACGTTTGTCAAATGTACTTTCAAAACGAAGCACAAAGTAACTAGTTATTCATCAGTGACTCTGTTCCTTAGAGGCTGTTGCATCGGTGGAAAAATATCTAGCTACTGTGACTGCGATCCTGACGATACTTGCGTACAAGCTGATTATTCCGATCCATTGGCGTATTCGTTCGACAACAATCTCTGAACAGATGTCTTGAAAGCGAAGCCATATGTTTATGTTGTCGCTGTCGCGCCACTGACAATAAATCACCCTCAGCCGCGACTTTGGGCCTTTTCCGTCTGACTTCACAACCCACTCTTCACCTTGGGTGGCCGACCTCGGCTCAAGGTGGTTCATTATGTGCCCGGGAAGATGGATTGTTGTCTGGCGATATTTCCGTCTCTCCGTCTGGTATGCACTCCGTATTAGTGATTTCCATCAAATCGCGACTCCACCCGGTACGCCGCCCAACAAGGCGTCCGCGCCCCCAAATCGCTGACGACCACGCCACATATGGAAGCGACCCGCTTCGGCTTCGAACATTTGTTTAAAAGAGGGATCCATCTTACTTTTATAAAACGGTCGCCTGTCGGACCCATGTGCGCGTTCGCACAGCCGCCCGCAAACTTATTTACTATATTTAAGCAGAGGTGAACGGTAAACGCGGATCAACTTTCGACAGACTACATTTGCAACACCGACTGATGCGACACTGATTCAACACAGCACAACATGTCATTGTAACTGGTTGAAACAGCTTTTGATGCTTAAAACAGCCGTATTTACCAGACCAAGACGATAAGAGGATATGACATGGCGCGGTCAAGCCACCCATTAAGCTAAGCACACCAACGACTGTACAGACGACAAAACCAGAAGGCGCACGGAGGCAGTTTCTTGTATTGCCGTAGAGTCCTCAGCATGACCAGCTGGGTAGTGCCACGTGTCCAGAAGCAGCTATGCATGGGTCCGGAAACAGTGACGTATGGGCCGCTCAAATTGGGCAACAGCTGACTGTTGACGGTCGAGCTGTTTCTGCGCAGAGCAGATTACACGCGCGGAACGAATGAGTATCTGAATGTAGCTCACTCCTGGCATCTTGCCAGATGAAAGGACATGTGCAAATGTAAATGGGTAGCTAATCGTGAGTCTTCTGCACCCGATCATTATCCATGATTGCCTGAACTGCATAATGACATGTGATGTTCGCATAGCGTTGCCTTTCTTGTAAACATTTATAAAATGTGTTTGATCGGCGCTTGGAAAAAAACGTGTGTCATTATTATGATTATTGTTGTATGCTTTGTATATATATATATATATATATATATATATATATATATATATATATATATACATAAACTCTATTCCATCTGGCGCCGGCGGTGTCATCCAGTCAACGGCTTGTCCTCCTTTGGTAGTGGATATCTGTGGGAGGCAATTGTCTCTAGCGAAGCCCCAAACACGTACAGGTTTGAAAGCCATGTTTGGCATGGCATCACAACTGAATCGTTCCCGTCCTATTTTTCTGTTACGATCACGTCCCATGACCCCTCGCTCATCTTAAGGTCATCACGGCGATCTGAGGTCACCAGATTTGCAACAGCTGGTCAACCCACGTACTGCAAATCGAGTGGTAAGGGTGAAGGTGAGGGTGACAGTTTTGTGAAACTTAGCCAGGCAATCTTCAGGTCGAAGCAGCAATGAAAGAAAAGTGTCAGTCTGAATTAATGTCAGTCTAATAGCATGCAAAATTAGAATTAAATCCGGTATTTATTGAACCTGGGTTCGTCCACACATAAATTTTACGGGTTCCGAACTTCTCATGTGAAAGATTAACGCCGTCACACAGAAACGCTTCCTTTTCATAGGGCGCGGAACCCACTCTAGCAGCATGCATGAACATTGTGACAGCTCGTAGGAGGGAGAAGCCAGTTCTGCCTGCATCTGCTCGCATATGTATTTCGAGATTACGGATGCGAGCCACATTTGATTGGAATACGTTGGACACCATCATAAGGCAGCCAGTTCGGACGGCGCGAGGACATTTACGTAGATTAGCGCCTTGTAGATAAGACGGACGCTGTTTCTGCTTCTGATTATGGCCTACTTAATACGACACGTTTGCCTATGAATACCTGCTCTGAACGCATGCCGGGCACAGCTTAATTGGGATTCAGCCGACCGGCTGATGAGTCGCCTTTGCGGTGAATTCTGTGATCCGTATTTATGACTGGCCACCCGTCAGATTCCTGAGGTGGGCATGTGCTGTCCTGGAATCATGGATGGATCAGCTGCGATTTTTAATGTTTTTGAAATTCCATCGATAACCTATGTATCAGCTTCAACACTTGGCCGTGCAATTCACCCACATGGTATGGTTGTCATGTTTTATATGCGATAAAAGCGTGTCGCGCCGCGCACATTTTTACGTGTGTGCATACTGTCGAACACGAATGTGCATTTTTGTGTGCAACCTTTTACTGAGTCGAAAACTGTGCGGAATAACACTAGCTGTTTTTTCGGCGTTTAAAACTATTGTTTTAAGTTCATACTGTCTTACGTGATTGCTATCGCGGCAAGCCTATCCACTTATCTCCGAAACATTACCAGAAATAAAGAAACGTTCGACTTGTGAATGCCAGATGATTGCCTATATATCTACGTATACACACACACACACACACACACACACACACACACACACACACACACACACACACACACACACACACACACACACACACACCACACACACACACACACACACACACACACACACCAC